TGTGCGGAAGTAACGTCCCATGATTTAATCGCAAAGGACCATATCGTACGCACAGAATACCCAGGATGACGTAGGACCAAGTAGTGGTATTTGAGATTCCTGATTATATTCTCGGAGAGCACTTAATGGTATTATTGTATGCTGCATGACCAATTAGTAAGTGTTACTCAGAATATGAAATGGATGAGTGGGGGTTCGAATTGATGCTGAACCAAAAAGCCTGATGTTATTCTGACGTAGTGGTGAGCAGGTAAATTGTTTTTTAATATTTGTTAACCACTCAGAAAGCGCCTTACAAAACTCAGTCTACAGTCTATGTTTTGTTTTGCTTATTGAAACAATGTACGTGAAGATATACGAGATAATTTTAATATTTATTTTCCAATGAGAAGTTAAGGTTTTCTGAAAATATGTATGAAGATGTGAACCGCTTTTTGCACGAAAATCGACATTGACGAAAAATCTATCGGCCGAAAGCTAAATCCTCAAAAGATGAGCCCAATAAGTGGAAAGATAATTCTTCCGCACCCGATGTAGAGGAAAGTAAAGCAAGAATGAGAAAAGAGAAAGGCCCAAATATTTCTATGGTGAATGACGAAGAAGAATAGGAGAGAATCCCCTCTCTTTAGAGTCCTCCCGACCTGAAATGCTTAGTCAATGTGGTGGAGTTTGTCGAGAGATCCAATGATATCCTCCTGGTAAACCTGGATGCAAAAGAACGCATTGCAAAAAAGAACAATATCAGTCTTTGTGATCGACAAGCTTACGCGCAAAATTTATCGGTACACAAAAGGTATTTGTGATGAAATCACTGATTTCCTTGGTGCGTAAACCTCAACAGATTATTAAAAGTTTAGGATACTTCATGTGGGACACACTGTTACCCACGCCAGACGATTGTACGGAAGTAACGTCCCATGATTTAATCACAAAGGACTAAATCATACGCACAGAATACAGAGGACAAAATAGGACCAAGAACACATAGGGTTTGCTTTGGTTTCTTTTACGGTTTATCAACCTCAATGGGTCATTTAATGCCAACAAAATTTTTATTCTTCTTCAAATATGTGTTGCTGGTAATAATATATTGCTGGTATTGAAACCTACTTTTACACTGTAAACAGGTGCTACCACCCCCTGGTCAGGGTGAAGCTGGAAACACCAGCAATTAAGAGGTCGTTCCACGCTCTTCACAACATCCTGATCAGATGCCTTGCTTTTGGATGTAGTTTATCGTCTTACCCAGGACGGGATCACTTTTGGGTATATCTTACCGAGGATGGCGTAAAACCAAGGTGGCGGTATATGAGATTCATGATTATATTGTCGGAGAACACTTAGGGTTATATCTTATCCTGAAACCAATTTAATATTAATCCAGAATATGAGATGGATGAGATGGGCGGGGCAAATTGATGCCGGACCAGGTATTCAAAAACTCAGGTTTTGGTAATGTGGCTTTGAGATACTCAAAAAAACCATAATGTTGGTAATGTGGCGTGAAATTCATCTCACCCTTTCACCTTTCCCTATAAGAGAGCACTAAAGCTAATTTTTCCGTGGGATATCGGGTCTCACGATTGACGGTCACATTAGGACTGAAATGGCCCAGGCCGTCTACCCTCTGAAAAGACAATTTTAAAGGCAGCCGGCCAAACCTAGAAGATCTGACAATGTCACATTTTTAACTAGTTTGCATGTCATTTCCAATGCTGTATGTACTTTTGTCTCCGGATTTGACTAGCAGGATTTCTGTCGTGGGACATACCATAAAAGTTCAAGCATTTATTTTCATTGGGCTTTTTGCATCCAACAAATCTAGGGAGCTGGCCTCCTTTCTTCGCAGGATCAATCCTTTTCTGACGACATCTCTTCGTGTAATTTTAGCAGGTGACTGGAATGCCGTTTCGATCCCGATATAGATCGTTCGGGTACTAGATTGGGTACTAACAACCCGGATGTAAAACCGTTTTGGGATTTTATCGACAGGCTGAATCTTATTGATAAGTTCAGGAATGAGCTTCCCCGGGAACGAAATGTGGACTTGGACTAATGGGAGGAGGCTCGGCTTCGGTAAAGCTACATTGGCCGAATCTTAATTAGGAGAGTCGACTTAGAAGGGTGTTGAATTCATCATTCTATAGTTTATTCGGACCATAGACTTGATTTCGATTTGCCTAAACTTAGAGAAACCTATGGTTGTTTCAGAACCCGTAGGGCCTCTTATTGGCTGCACATACGCGTTTTAATTTTTCAATATTTTTTTTTTTTATTTTTCCTAAAATTATATTTTTGAATATTTTTAGCTAAAATATTTTTTATATTTTTCAAAAACTTTTTAGTAAAAATTTTAAAAATGCACAATAAAAAAAAAAAAAAAAAAAAAAAAAACCCCCCAAATAAAAAACATGTATTTAAAAAAAAAATGAAAAGGATGCCAACTTACTTTTTGTTATAGGGATATCATCGTTCTCATAACAATGATCCGTTTATTCGGAATTCCGTCTTGCTTTTGATATTAGATAACATTTTATTGGAGCCTGGTTTGAGCCTGGAAATCACAAAACACCTAATTTTCAGTAAAAAAATTTTGAAAATCAACAAAGAAAAGAGAAAAAAATTTTTTAATTAATTCAAAAGAATCAGTATGTTGATTTCAGAAGCGTAGATTAGATTTCCTGGCATTATAAGGCCGAAATTATGGAGATAGATTAACAGAGCAAAAACAATGATCGCATGTGAAGCTAGAAAAAAAAAAAAAATTTGAAAATCGAGAAAAAGAATTGCAGCAGAAAAACAAACATTTGGCCTCCTTCAGAAGAATCAATATGGATTTTCTTTTGATTAGGATAGATTAAAAGGCCGAAATGGATTTTCCGTGAGGACAAACAAATATGTGAAATGAGGCTGAATTTCTTATTTTGAGGATCTTTTTATTCGGGGAGACCGGTCTTCTTTCCTCGCGTCGAGGAACATGAAGAAATTGTACATTCGAGACTTTTCTATCTTATTTTCTGGATCATTTTACCAGAAGCCCGGTTTGTCCAGGCTCAGACACACCTAATTAGGTGATCCTCGCCTCAATGAAGAATGGTAAACAAAGAAAAACAAAGGTTTTACTCAGAATATGAAGATGAATGCGTTTTAAGCAATCGACGAACAAAATGATAAAATTGTCTACCCTATGAGATGTATTCGAGGTAGTCGCGCATGTTTGTCCTGGAACTGATGACACTAAGATGGCATTTAACCAATAGATAAAAAACAGGAATATTCCAGAACGCATCACCAGAGGTGGGATCAAATGTTGCTTCGATTCAAGAATAAATATTGAAAAGATACGGGGTTCTTGGGTGGTAAGTTTTTCCTTTTATATGTATGTTCGTTTGTCTTCGTGGATCTGGCGGTTAGGTTTTCATCGCCTTTCCTGCTAAAAGTCAATCTGTCCTGATACAGATTTTCCAGAGTTGGCCTTTTTTTTTTATCATGAAATACCAAGATTTTGTAGTTAGGGCTTTATTAAAAGGATGTCTTTTCGAGGCTCAGTAAATTCTGGCCTCTGAATTTCGGCCTGAAGAGGTTCGGAATATCGTAGACCAATATATCACTAGCGTTGCATTGGGATTACCGTGACTACAAACAACGGTACATTTGAGACTTTTTCTATCTTATTTTCAGGATCTTTTTTCTTTAGGCTTATCTGAAAACATTTCCTCGCGTCGAGGCAAAATTTGAAACAACAGGGTATGAACGTGTCCGATCACAAAAAACGGATAATAGAAATTGTAATGCGTTTTAAGCATGTCGACAAAGAAACGAATCCTGGTATCGATGGTCTCCCTATAAGGTGTACTTGAATTAGTCGCACGTGTTTGTCCCTCTGCTGGACACTGGTCTTTAACCAATACATGAAGAAACCCAGAAGTATTCCCGAACGCGTCCCCAGAAGAAACTGTTAGTGAACTCAAGTTGCCATTTCAAAAAATAAACACTGAGTGGATAGGATGAATAATTTCCAGCCCTTAACCATGGTGAATTACAGAATTCTAGTCTTTTACACAAACGCGTTTTAAATTTTTCTATATTTTTTCTTTTTTTTTAAGATTATATTTTTTATATTTTTCAGCAAAAATATTTTTTATATTTTTTTAAGAAACTTTTTCAGGCAAAATTTTACAAATGCATAGCAAAAAAAAAAAAAAAAAAAAAAAAATATTCAAAAATAAGTATTTAAAAAAATTTAAATGAAAAGGATGCCAACTTACGTTTTGTTATAGGCGATATCATCGTACATCATAACAATGATCCGTTTATCTATAATTCCATTTTGTGTAGAATTTGATATGGGACGTTGTCAACATCAGCCTGTGCCTTTAACAAAAAACTTGTATTTGTAAGCAAAAGCCAAAAAAAAAAAAAATAATTGAAAACTCAAAAAAAGAAAAATTCAGAAAAAATATTTTAATTAATTCAAAACAATCAGTATTTTGATTTTTCTAATGAGGCTAATGAAACCCTTTATATGAGTCTAAGCAATGACTCACTAATAAGAGGATTTGATAAAATTTTTAAAGAGATGAATGAGAGATTTTAATTTGTGAATTTTATGGATAATTATTTTAATGTCATTGGGTATAGAATTGCCCCCAAAATACTGAGTGCTGAAAGAGGTTGACGTGTCCCTTCGAATTTGGGCATTCATATCCCTTCGCAACCCTCTTCTCCTTCTGTTTTTGGCAAAATTTGTCCCTTTTGCTAAGCCTTTCACGACCCTCGTTCCATCATCCATTAGCAAAAAATAGCTCGTCAGTTATATGGAACTGCACTGGAATACCTGTGTGTTGTAATCTTGGTTTCCAGGTCAAGATCATATCACATAGAAACACCGGTTCTCGTACTATCAGCGAAGTTAAGAAACGTCGAGGCTGGTCAGTATCGGGATGGCTGACCTTTTGGGAATATCAGGTGCTGTAAGATTGGATGTCCGGCTGGTATGGCTTGCGATCATATCGTGGTGAAATACCGGTTCTCGTATGATCGCCAAAGTTAAGCAACGTCGAGGCTGGTCAGTATCGGGATGGCTGACCTTTTGGGAATATCAGGTGCTGTAAAATTGGATGTCCGGCTGTTCTGGCTTGCGATCATATAGTGGTGAAATACTGGTTCTCGTATGATCGCTAAAATTAAGCAACGTCGCGCTCGGTGGTGACCGTTTGGGAATACCAGGCGCTGTAATCTTAGAAGTGCGGGTGGTGCAGTCGGCCACATCTTTCTGTCGAAAGTCAGCAACACTGGACCACATGTGGTCATCTATATTTATTGGTGGTATTGCAATTCTATCGTTATATATAATGTTAAAGAGAAAATCTTCAGTGGATCCTCAATCCAACTACCATGTCGTAAGTTGTACTTAAAAATCTTATCGCCCGTTTCATTTTCCTGCTCGGTTTTTCTGAACAGGATTAGAGGTTGGACCCTGGTTTCCATTTTAGATTCTTACGTACATATTGAAACATCAGTTTTGTTCCATCACCAACATTAAGCGACATTAGACCTGGTTATTTCCTCGATGGGTAACTGCATTGCAAGAACTGGTGTTGTAATATTTGTATCGGGGTGCTATGAGCTGACGGTCATATCACATAGAAACCCCGGTTCTCACAGGATCACTGGAGGTAAGCACCGTCGAGCCTGGTCAGTATCTAGATTGGTGACCGATTGGGGATACCACGTGCTGTAAGCTTGGATGTGAGGTTGGTATGACTTATGGTCATATCGTGTTGAAAGACCAGTTCTCGTATGATCACCGAAGTTAAGCAACGTCGCGCTTGGTCAGAACCTAGGTCGGTACGGAACTGCACCCAAAAGAACTGGGTGCTGAGGAGGTGCGGGTTTTATAATCCGCATTCATCTCAGTTCATGAGGACTCTCCAAATATTATTTAACCATTTATTTCCTCTTTTTTGCCCTTTTTACAAAGTTTGTCTCTTTCCTCTCACCAAACTTGTTCCAACATCCATTCGCACAAGCGATTCAGTTAGATGACTCCGCAGACTACCCCTGGCCTATTTTGCTTGCGATACACCCTGTGAGTGTCAAATTCTCCAAGCCCTTACTTGGGGTGAAATGATTAAAAAAAAAAAAAATAAATAAAAATAATTTTGCATAATTATATGTGATAATGAAATTTTTCCGCTGGTAATATAAAAAGGAAGATTTACTTGATGTCTGTAGTCATTCCAGCCATTTGACCCTGCAACGAGTAAAGCCCAACGGACACCTCCATTTTCTAACTAGGATAATGGAGGCAGACTGCATGCGTCGATAATTTTGGACAACGCTATGGCGAGTAACAGAATAATGATTCTAAACGACCACATCATGAATTAATAAAACATTGGCAAGTGATCTTCAGAGCCTGACGCTGAGCGATCTCTTCTCGTGTACAATTGTCAATTTTAATTTATATATAGTCTAAGTAATGGTCACTGATAAGAACTGTTGTCATGGTTTTGCATACCTCCTACGCTAAGTAAATTTACTGATCAAATTTTTAAAGAGAGAAAGTAAGGGATTTCAATTTGAGAATTTTACAGGCAATTATCACAATGTCATTGGGTACGGAATTGCCCCCAAAATACTGGGCTTCTGAGGAGGTGCTGTTTTTATCATCCGCATTCATCTCAGTTTATGAAGTCTGTCCAAAATTATTAACTTCCTCTCTTGTGTTTACCGTGTCTATTCAGGACGTGGACGTTCATAGCCCTTCACAACCTCCTTCTCCTTGTTGCCCTTAGCAATGTTTGTTACTTGCCTCTCACCAAATTAATTCCAACATCCATTCACAAAAACGATTCAGTTAGATGACTCGCAGACTTCCCCTGTCCCATATTCTTTGCGATATATCATGTGAGTTGGCCGTTTAAACAAAATATAACAGGGAATTTCATTTGACCCTGGAGGGTATATCAACGGAGACCCAGTGAAAATAATTCTGAAAAAAAAAAGACGCTTCACCTTATTTTTCTCTCACGTTCACCTTCTGTAGACCCCTGCATACTAGTATAACCCCTTACGGCCATCACACACTCGACTCTCACGGGTCCGTCAGGTCCGGCAGATTTTCAATCGGGACCAAGTGACAATAATTGACTCTCTAAGCGTGTTGTGAGTTTTCTGACCCGAAGATTAGTTTCGTCGTCCCTGGACCTACGGGGTCTGTTGAGTGTGCTGACGGCGGGTATATTAGTAAAAATGCCCAACGCACTGGAAAAATCAATACCGTTACAGAAGACGATAAGGAAAAATACGATTTTGAGATCTATGTCATTGACTGAGTCAAGGTGGGAAAACCTATTTTCTAGAAAAATGTCTGTAAAAATGAATTTCGTGAACCATGTAAACAAAATGTAACTTCATTTGACACCGGAGGGTCTATCAATGGAGACACAGTGAAAATAATTCTGAAAAAAAAAAAAGGTTTCACCATACTTTTCTTTAACTTTCACTCTCTGTAGACCCCTTGCCTACTAGTGACACTCCTACCTTGCTTACGGTGAAATGATTAAAAAAATATATAAGTAAATAAAAATAAATATGCATAATTTCATGTAATATTGATATTTTTCCGTTTGTAATATAAAAAGGAAGACTTACTTGATGTCTGTAGTTGTACCAGCCATTTGACCCTGCAACGAGTAAAGCCCAACGGACACCTCCATTTTCCAATGGAGGCAGACTGTGTGCGTCGGTAATTTTGGACAACGCTATGGCCAGTAACAGAATAATGATTCTAAACGACCACATCATGAATTAATAAAACATTGACAAGAGATCTTCAGTGCCTGACGTTGAGCGATCTCTTCTCGTGTACAATAGTTAATTTTAATTTATATATAGTCTAAGTAATGGTCACTGATAAGAACTGTTGTCATGGTTTTGCATAGCTACTCCTAAGTAAATTTACTGATCAAATTTTTAAAGAGAGGGAGTAAATATTTAAATTTGAGAATTTTACAGCCAATTATCACAATGTCATTGGGTACGGTAATTGCCCTCAAAATACTGGATGCTGAGGGGGTGCTGTTTTCATCATCTGCATTCATCTCAGTTTCTGAGGTCTGTCCAAAATTATTAACTTCGTCTCTTGTGTTTACCGTGTCTATTCAGGACGTGGACATTCATACCAATTCGCAACCTCCTTCTCCTTGTTGTTGATGGTCAAGAACGGTTGTCATGGTTTTGCATACCTCCTTAAGTAAATTTACTGATCAAATTTTTAAAGAGAGGGAGTGATTAATTTCAGTTTGGGAAATTCACGTCCAATTATCAAATTGTTACTGGGCATGGAATTGAAAATTGTTCTGTCAGTTTTTATCATCTGCATTGATCTTAGTTCATGAGTTCTGTCCAAAATTATTTAACCATTTACTTCCTCTTTTGTGCTTGCCGTGTCCCTTCAGTACGTGGACGGTTCATAGCCCTTCACAACCTCCTTCACCTTATTGCTCTTAGCAACATTTGTCCCTTTGTTAAGCTTTTCACACCCTAGTTCCATCATCCATTCACACAATCTCGTCAGTTATATGGCTTGCAGACTTCCCTGCTTCCTTTTGCTTTCGATATATCCTGTGGCTGTCAAATTCTCCGAGACCTCATCCTCATTATATGCTCAAAGAAATTTCATCTGTTTCTTTCTGATTCTCGTTATCAGTACACTTTTTGTTTCTGTGTCCCTGAAGACTTCTTTGTTGATTACTCGCTTCGTCCATGGAATTCTCAGTATCCTTCTGTAGAACAACCTTTCTGTTTCTTCCAGTTTTCTCACTATATATCAGGAGATTGTCGAGCAGTCATTGCCATATAAGAAGATTGATCTCCAATGAATTTCTATCGAGAATTTTTTTTTTATTTCTGTCGACAGTCTGCCATACTGAGTAACATGTGGTCATAGTTGTTTCTGTCGACATTTAGCAAACCAACATGTGGTCATCTAATTTATTTTTGTCAAGTCATGTGATCATCTGATCATTATTTGTTTTTGTCGACAGTTGGCGACACTAAGCAACAAGTGGTCATCTATATTTGTTTTTTGTTGACAATGAGCAACACTGAGCCACATGTGATCATCTATATTTATTGGTGGTATTGTAATTATATCGTTATATATAATGTTAAATAGAAAATCTTCAATGGATCCTCAATCAACCTACACTGTGGTACGTTGTTAATTAGAACCCTTATCGCCAGCTTCATTTTTCTCCACGGTTTTCCACCCTTTTTTTCCATTTTTCTGAACAGGATTAGAGATGAAACGCTTTTCACATTTAGGAGTACAAACAAATCACATTGAAAAACTGGCTTTGTTTCCAACATCGAATTTAAGCAACGTCAAGGCCTGATCAGAACCTAGATTAGTAACTGCATTGGAATACCTAGTGCTTTAATCTTGGTGTTGGGTGGTATGGCTCACGGTCATATCACATAAAAACACCGGTTCTCCTACGATCACCGAAGTTTAAGCAACGTTGAGCCTGGACAATACTGGGATGGGTGTCCGTTTGGGAGTACCAGTTTGATGTTACGGTTGGTATGGCTTTGCGATCATACCGTGTTGAAAGACAATCGATTTCGTTTTATTCACTTTCACGGAAATGGCGTTGTTAAATGTAGATATCCATTATTCTCCTCCAGATGTGGGTTAAACAGTAAGAATGTTATCACAAAACCATTATCATATCAAGAATAAGAAAATACCACAGGAGGGGATGTTACATCATCATAAATTATGATGATTGCAAGCACTTTCGGTACCAGTAGGGAATTATGGGTTCAAGACTTATACATATATATATATTTATATAAATTACGTTTTTGAAACGGCCTTTTATTAATTATTGGATTTTCAGCGGTCGGTATCATATAAAATTTTCATTAACGCAATGGAACATAAATATCCAACTGAAATGCACCGAAAATAATCTTTCAACAGTCTGCAAGAATCTCCGTGTTCTGTTATTACATACGGTTTTATAATGTTATATTGAAACACACTGCAATCTAAAAAATTACTTATTGTTGACAATACAGTTGGACCAAAGCCAGTCTCATATATATCATTCTACCCTAAACCCAAAAACATATATATCCTACCGAAATGCACCGAACAATGAGGCAGTCTGCAAGAATTATGTATTCTGTTATTATTATACGGTTTTATAATGTTATATTGAAACGGCTCTGCAGTCTTAAAAGAACAATACAGTTGGACCAGTGTAAGCAGCCAGTCTCATATATATATTTTTACCCTAAACCCAATGGAACATATATATCCTACCGAAATATTTATGAACCTTATGAGGCAGTCTGCAATTGAATTATTTCTGTTATTACATATGTTTTAAATGTTATATTGAAACGGCTCTGCATATCTACGATAAAATATCTTTCATTACAGTCTATTGCAATTATTGTTTTATTTTATTATTATTATTGTTGTTAATCTCTTATCATTCATAATATCTAATTTATCTTTCATTACAGTCTATTGAATTATTGTTTTATTTTATTATTACTTATTGTTGTTAATCTCTTATTGGGCCTCATAATATCTACGATAAAATATCTTTCATTCTGTTATTGCAATTATTGTTTTATTTTTTTATTACTTATTATTGTTAATCTCTTATTGAAAACCTATCTACGATAAAATATCTTTCACAGTCTATTGCCAATTATTGTTTTATTTTATTATTACTTATTGTTGTCTATTGAGCCTTATTGGAAAATATTTTCATTACAGTCTATTATTGTTTTATTTTTATTGTTGTTAATTATCCGTATTAAAATTTATATCTATTGAAAAATCTTTCATTACAGTCTATTGCAATTATTGTTTTTTTTATTACTTATTGTTGTTAATCTCTTATTGGGCCTCATAATATCTACGATAAAATATCTTTCATTACAGTCTATTGCAATTATTGTTTTATTTTATTATTACTTATTGTTGTTAATCTGTTATTACAGCCTCATAATATCTACGATAAAATTACTTTCATGTACAGTCTATTGCAATTATTTTCATTACAGTGTATTGCCAATTTTATTTTATTATTATTTATTGTTGTTAATCTCTTTTTGGAACATAATATCTACGATAAAATATCTTTCATTACAGTCTATTGCAATTATTGTTTTTTTATTATTAATTTGTTAATCTCTTATTGTCATGTTAATTACAGTTTTGCAATTATTTTTTATTTGTTATATTGAAACTCTTATTGCAGTCTCATAATATCTACGATAAAATATCTTTCATTACAGTCTATTGCAATTATTGTTTTATTTTATTATTACTTATTGTTGTTAATCTCTTTATTGGGCCTCATAATATCTACGATAAAATATCTTTCATTACAGTCTTATTGTTTAATTATTTTTTATTTTATTATTACTTATTGTTGTTAATCTCTTATTGGGCCTCATAATATCTACGATAAAATATCTTTCATTACAGTCTATTGCAATTATTGTTTTATTTTATTATTACTTATTGTTGTTAATTAATTGAGCCCATTATTACGATAAAATATCTTTCATTAAGTATCTTACGATAAAATAACTTTCATTATCTAGTCTATTACAGTCTAAATTATTGTTTTATTTTATTATTACTTATTATTGTTAATCTCTTATTGGGCCTCATAATATCTACGATAAAATATCTTTCATTACAGTCTATTGCAATTATTGTTTTATTTTATTATTACTTATTGTTGTTAATCTCTTTGGGAATATCATAATATCTACGATAAAATATCTTTCATTACAGTCTATTGCAATTATTGTTTTTCTGTATTACATATTGTTTTTAATGTTATATTGAAACTCATAATATCTACGAAAAAATAACTTTTTCATTACAGTCTATTGCAATTATTGTTTTATATTTTATTCTATTAAACCCTTATTGGAACATAATATCTACGTTAATTACATCTTATTGAGTTATTACTTATTGTTTTTAATGTTATATTGAAACATAATATCTACGATAAAATAACTTTCATTACAGTCTATTGCAATTATTGTTTTATTTTATTATTACTTATTGTTGTTAATCCTTATTGGGCCTCATAATATCTACGATAAAATATCTTTCATTACAGTCTATTTCTGCAATTATTGTTTTATTTTATTATTACTTATTGTTGTTAATCTCTTATTGACCTCATAATATCTACGATAAAATAATATTTCATTACAGTCTATTGCAATGCAATTGGTGTTTTAATTTCCCATTAAATATCTACGATTATTGTCTGTTAATTATTCTTTTATTGACTTTATAATATCTACGATAAAATATCTTTTATTACAGTCTATTGCAATTATTGTTTTTTTTTATTATTACTTATTGTTGTTAATCTCTTATTGGGCCTCATAATATCTACGATAAAATATCTTTCATTACAGTCTATTGCAATTATTGTTTTATTTTATTATTACTTATTGTTGTTAATTCTTTATGTCATAATCTCTTAAAATGCAGCCTTGCATAATTTATTATCTATTGTTGTTAAAAAATATCTTTCGATTATTTTCATTACAGTCTATTGCAATTATTATTTTATTTTATTATTTTTTTATTCTTGTTAATCTCTTATTGGGCCTCATAATATCTACGATAAAATATCTTTCATTACAGTCTATTGCAATTATTGTTTTATTTTATTATTACTTATTGTTGTTAATCTCTTATTGGGCCTCATAATATCTACGATAAAATATCTTTCATTTCAATTATTGTTTTATTTTTATTATTTGCGGTAGAAATCTCTTATTGATGCAATTATCTGATTTTTTCATTATCTATTAATTATTGTTTTTAATTATTATTACTTATTGTTGTTAATATCATAATATCTACGATAAAATATCTTTCATTACAGTCTATTGCAATTATTGTTTTGGATTTTATTATTACTTATTGTTGTTAATCTCTTATTGAGCCTCACCAATATCTACGATAAAATAAAATTACAGTCTAATTGCGATTTACCATTGTTGGCCTTTTCTGGATTATTTTCATTACAGTCTATTGCAATTATTTTTTATTTTATTATTATTGTTTAATCTCTTATTGGGCCTCATAATATCTACGATAAAATAACTTTCATTAGAGTCTATTGCAATTATTGTTTTTTTTTATTATTACTTATTGTTGTTAATCTCTTATTGGTCCTCATAATATCTACGATAAAATAACTTTCATTACAGTCTACTGCCATTATTGTTTTATTTTATCATTACTTATTCTTGTTAATCTTTATTGAGATAATATCTACGATAAAATATCTTTCATTACAGTCTATTGTCAAATTATTGTTTTATTTTATTATTACATATTGTTGTTAATCTCTTATTGGGCCTCATAATATCTACGATAAAATAACTTTCATTACAGTCTATTGCAATTATTGTTTTATTTTATTATTACTTTTCTCTTTTTATAATGTCTAGATAAAAATATTTTCATTACAGTCTTTGCAATTATTGTTTTATTTTATTTTATTTACTTATTGTTGTTGTTAATCTCTTTTTGAGTCTAAATATTTACGATAAAATAATAAAGATTACTCTATTTCAAAAATTGTTTTAATTTATTATTACTTATTTTTGTTAATTTTTATTGGTTAATATCTACGATAAAATATCTTTCATTACAGAAAAATTTTTCTGTTACTTCATACATAATATCTAGAAAATATATTACAGTCTATTGCAATTATTTTTTTATTTTTTTATTACTTAATCCTACTTTAATTAAATATCTTAATTTGTTTATTTTATTAATATTACCTAATAATATCTACGATAAATTAATTACTTTTATTTTAGTCTTTTGATATAGTCGTTTATTTTTTTTTTGCAATTCATTGTTGTTAATCTCTTATTGAGCCTCATAATATCTACGATAAAAAATACTTTTCATTAATGTCTATTGCAATTATTGTTTTATTTTATTTTTACTTATTGTTGTTAATATCTTATTGGGCCTAATGTAATCTACGCAAAGAGTGGCAGATTCTGATTGCCAGTTGGAGTAATGATGACAAAGGATCGCATGTCGCATATTTACTCAGCGTCCTTTCTAGCGAGGTCTTAGCCGCATTCCGGCCTGGGTGTGGCAGGCATATTGTCTCTTCCAATTTCCTGTTATGGGTTGAGTGAATCTTTTGTTCAATGTTAGTCTGGCTAACACTGGAAAAATTGAAAACGTGTTTATTAGAAATGCCGTTGTCAACAACCAACCTTCTAGAAACAAATCAATTCATGTCATTTTTATCCCAAGGTAAATGGTTTCATTATTTGCTTTCGTGATTGGGCTTGTTAGATTTTGAATGACATCAGAAGCAAGATAACGTCTTTTGTATTCTTTTAGGCTATTCAAATAATTCATAATTCCCGTTGTATGACACAACTTGATGTTAGCTAGGTAACGGCAGAAAGTGTGTATCTGATATATTTTCAACCCCGTGAACAACTTGAAAGAACCTTTCGAAAAATCAAACCCCA